TCAGCCCCCTGTGAGCAAAAGGTGTGAATCAGGGCCCCAACGATAACCAACAAATAGAGGGAAAAAACAAAAACAAGGGGACGTTGAACCCCCGCTTGCATTCATTACATTCACATAAAAACGACACGGGTCAGGTGATGGGGCACATGACCCTCTATGACAATAGAGCCAATCAAGCCTATTGTTTGTTGATGGCCCTCTCTTGCATGTGATTGACCTGTTTGTCCACCATGTGGAGGCAGTGCTTATAAGGCTGAGTTCACCTGAAACTCATCAGACTGAAGAAGTCTCTTGGAGGAGAGACGAAACGTTTCGCTAAAGAAGAACCCATCCAGAGGACCTACTTATTTTTTTCCTTTTGATTTAAAAAAGCAAAACTAGTACGTACATTTTGCAAACAGTTCCTTCAAGTGTGGCAAGAAAAGTACTTCTCAAATTACAAACGTGAATTGTTTCTGAGAACAAAATGAGCACCGTAAAATCTACTTTCCAATTTCCTCCCATGTCAGATAAAATCAATCCTGCTTTTTTATKTTTTTGCAAAGTAAATGTTGTTTAAATCAGAAAATGTAAGCAAAGAATCACCTCACCTCAAGGAAGTTTGTGTCCACTGTCTCCTCCAATCACAAATGWACTGAGGACCCTTCAGAGCCAATCATATCATTTGCCAGTGATTTGCCTCAGCGAGGAGTCGTAAAAGGGTTAAACGTCACAACCAGTCATCTTCGACAGGGCTGATGTGATGGACAGGTGGCCAGCAGCAGTTTTTAGGGCGGATTGTGTTCTTGAGGAAGCACTTGACCACTTCTGACATTTAGTAAGCATTTTGCACACAGTGACCTCAAGTCACAGAAGAGAGGAGAGGAGCTACTACGTTGCTTAAAAGACGTCGAGATGGGAAGGACGAGCGGCAAAGTCACTTTGACACATTTAGGATGGAYGAAGTAGAGAGAAAAGTTCAACTAAAGCAGGAAGAAAATCCAAATAGAGACTTAATTAAAGAAGAAATACGTGGAAATTTGTGAAAAAGATAAAACAGTGGGTGCTGTACAAAAGCAGTAACTACGCCTGTCAAATAACCAATAAATTAATTCAGTTCAATTCAGTTTATTCATGTAGCGCCTTTATTCTGGCATTGCCTCAGGATGCCCTCAGTGTACTGTAAGAAATATTCACATTCAAAGACTGAAGTCAATAGAAAACCACCAATGTTAAATAACATGATTTTTAGACGAGATAAAACCATACAAAACCAGAATTCTGGAGTGGGRTTTATTGCCATTCRGWTCTGACAGGAAACCACACACTGCCGAAAAGCCAGGAAGTACCTCAATTTATACATGATTCTTCARTGYCTGTGTTCGCCCCCTACTGACCTACGGCTGAATCACAGGCTTTCAAACAAAAGTCTCATCTACTGTTATTATAACGTTTTCATTATGTGTTGTTTATAATTCGGACATGTAACTAATCTAAATCAAAACATAATAGATTAAACATTGTCAACATTATAAAAAGGAAAACCTAAAAATATGTTGTGATGCTTTTAACATCAGTACCAACCTCTAATAACTAAATTTCTTCAGTACCATGCCCAACTTTTGGTTCGCTGATAGTTGTTTATTTTACACTACGTAAATTTTTTAACTTTTGTAGGGTGACCGCAATTATTTTATGAAGCCAGACGTACGGTTGGGCAATATTGGCAAAAAAAGAGAATTAATTGCGGTATTTAGCCGATAACATAATATGTTGACTAATCCCCTGGAGTCCCTGGATGCCTGCATAGCTGAGTCACATGATCAATTTAGATCACTCTAGTGGGAAAGCTTTGCACTCTGTAAAACTCTGTTCCAAAT